GCATGTCCTTTACGGGTGGAACAGAATAAATGGCTGGATGGTTAGTGTTTAAGTATAGACTGTATAGAAGCTGGACTCCCACTCTCAGTCAAATATCAGGTAAATGATGAATAGAATATGTGATCTAAAGTCTGGTCTGATCTTCTTTACATTGTACACCGTACCTTTGCTGTGGCGTAATGATAAATTAATAAGTATATATTTCAATTTCACAGAGGTTTAACATGGAGACATTAGATAAATACAGGAAATAAAAGTGTGAAGTAATTATTTGCTTCAAAAGCTCATTTCTACATTTAAAAGGTAGTTCATTATTTATGTACCAACTCAGTGCTGGCATTTACACAGCAGAAGTCGAGCAGTCAGGGGCCACACACTCACAGCCCACATCTGTGAGAAAACACATCCCTTTTTAATGGGATGGAAATGCATTTTCTGCAGATTTTTTCTCCAAAAGCTACATTAATGAAAAGTGTGACCTGTCACACCTGAGTAGGAACAAAATTATTCTGTATTACTCAACACACCATGGCGACGAAAGGTTGTCATCAGATAAAAGGTGATTTGTGCAAGATATCAGGTAATTTGTCACAATATCTGCATGTGAGAAAAAGCACCCAAAATGAAATTGGGGAGAAAAATTGGATCAAAGCAAGGCCAGGCTCAAGGTCATTTTTATATCTTGCTGAGAGAAAGTGTAAACAACATAGGGCTAGCGAAAACGCAATATACTGTATGGCAACGCAGACACAAAAGCTGCAGTTTTAAAGCACTTTTGTTGAGCCACGGGAATAAATAACAGTGCGGCGCTCACAGCAAATATTACAGAAAGAGGAGATAAGAGAAAACAGACTTGAATCCGTGTCGTTAACAGTGCGATGGAGCCGGAGAGGGAAACAATGATACGCTTTACATTTTTGTGGCTGGGCGATTCCTGCAGACATCGGCATGTGTCTGTGGCAGTCTGGACCACACACACTCTTATCAATCTCTGCACAATAACACACAAAACAATTTGCTAATGTTTTGAAAATAGCTTTCCCTTTCGCCTTGCTCCGGCATTGAGAGATGTATGCACAATTTCATAAATACAATCAGTGCGCTGAATGGAGGCACTGATATTCCGAAGGAAAAAAAATCTCATTATTGTTCCTGAGCTATGGAAAAGCAGTCAGTGGCCCATATCACACCACTGCCCCCTCCCTTTTCTCTCTCTTCTTTCTTTCTTTCTTTCTTTCTTTCTTCTCACTCTTTTCTCATTCTTTCCTTTTTCTCTCCATCTGTCTCTTCTTTCCTCTCTCACCCATGCTCTCTCTCTTTTTTGTCTCTCAGTTCTCTCTCTCTCACTCTTTCTCTTCCTTCTCTCTTTATCTCTCTCTCTCCACTCTCTCCTTTTCTGTCCTTTTCTCTCTTCTTTTTCTCCTTTCTTTCTCACTCTCTCACTCCTTCCTCTCTCTTTCTCTCCCTCCTTGCTCTCTCTCCTTCTCTCCTTTCTCTATATCTCTCTCCTCTCTCGCTTTGTTATCTCTCTCTTCACTCTCTTCATTCGCTCTCTCTTCTCTGTCCTCTCTCTCCTCCCCTCACTCTTCTCTCTCTCTCTCTCTTTCTCTCCTCCCTCCCTTCACACAAAGACTAATTCTGCCGAGCACTAAACAATGTGCAGCAGTTAGCAGCACAGACAATATTATCGATGAGCAAAAAGGAGGCGTCAGCAAGACACATGGCACACTGAAGACAGGCTGTCCTCTGGAGTTCACGAGGTCACCATGAATGGGTCACACTTTACAATATCCACACTTTGAATTAACTTCATAAAGTATGTACAAGGACTTAATGAACAAATCCTTAATGATGAACTATTGGTAACTAAGCAGTAACTAAGCCTGAAACATTCTTGAAAAACTATTTGTTCATTATGAATTCAAGCTAAATAAGATCTAGTTTTATCATCAATAGCTCTCAGTGTAATAACTGGCTCTGATCCAATCCAGGGGCATAGGACAGATCTCGTTTCGTGAATGATCCTGTCTCACTTATTAAAATGACTTTAATGTGTCAGTGCTGTACCAAAATAACAGTCTTAGTTGAGTTTATTTCATTTATTTTACAAGGACCATGTGCAGGAACATTAATCAAAGAAACAGCTCTAGTCTGCTGCAAGACATGCAAAACATAGAATGCACAAATAATAAAAAATAAAATAAATGCAATCTATATTCACAAACAGTCCAATAGTCATGATAAAATTACTATAAAGACATTGAAGAGCTCTAACCCCTTCCCACCCTACTGCCTAGTTGTTAGTTCTAAGTTGTTTTTTCTACATCTGGAAATGTAACAGTTTCACTAATGCTGATATTTATGTTTTGTTAAAAAATGTTAAAATCTTAATTCTACACTAAACTTTTTAAGTGCATAACTTTAACTGTGTTGGTAGTTTGTTCCATTCTGTAGTAGAAGATTGAAATGCTGATAGGCCTATGCTGTTTTAGATATGTTTTAATCACAGTTCAATTTGCTGCATAACCACAATCACTGTAAAAAAAATCATTAATCTTAATTATAGTCAAAATGAAGATGAACTTCTTTTTATGTGGTTGAGAGATGTTTCCCTGGCTGCCTGTTATCTGTTAGTCAGTTCAGTTTCACCACAAGATGGCACCGATGCTTATTTGTACAGTGTATGTTTTTATAGGCACAGTGGAAAAGAGGTTACAGATTGCTGCAGAACTTTTAACCTTTAAACCTCTAGACTTCTTCTAGAATGAGAGCAACAGATAAATTACATATTCTAAATAATTAAAAAGTACACTTCTGAAAAAGGATTTTAAGTCATATTTGATATATACAATAATAACAATTATAAATCCTGGAAGTAACTGAGACTGGATATAATACTGGAGTACAAACTGCACTTTTAACATTTCAAATGAAATGGTTTTGGAGTAAATATTTTAGGCTAATCACATAAAAGTCAGCAATGATCTGGAATGGCATTACCTCTCTGGTTTATATAGTTTACGATGTTACTGGACCAAGTTGGTGGATATGTTTTTACTTCTGGAGATGGTCTTTTTTTTTTTTTTTTTTGGTCTTCTGTTTGGGTGGACTTGCATTGCCTTTATACTGTATTTGAAACATAACAGATTTACTGCACATTCTTCTTCTTGTTTTGAATTCCTGTTTATAGCCTATTTAAATGTGTTATTTGTATCTGCACATCATGCCTAACTATTTCCTTTGGTACTTCACACTGTCAAATAGTTTGACCCCAAGGGAAGTAAAGAAAATCCAACTTTCCTCATTGATGTTGTTGTCTGGAGTTATATTTTCAGTACAACCCTGTGTTCATCTTGTTCCTGTTGTCTTGAGCGCTGATAAATTGTTGATACAAAGATCAGCCAGAGAGTGACCTGTGAGTACAGGACAATCTGCAGGCGTCCAGGGAGAGCGCACCATCAGCCCCATGTGGCCTGTTATGAAGTAGCTCCAGCGTAATCAAGGACAACACAAACACTGGGGCAATCCACGGACAAGATGGAGGTGCTGAAGTTGTGCCTCCCACTGAGACTGCCACTCTCTGCAAAACACACACAGCTTATGGCATTGGAAAACACTTTAGGGTTCATAAGTTTAGCCTATTATTGACCTAATGGCTTTTAAAAATGAAATTATTATATACCTACAATTTGGTGATTTCTGATTCAAATGATGGATAATTACATTTCTTTAAATTTAGGCTGTATTACATTCAGTCAACACTATCCGTATCTATACACAATAAAAAGACATTGGAATTGTCTTAGAATTTGAATTATGATAGAAACCACATATCAAGAGTATTTAATATTTAGTCCCTCCAGTTGCTGGATTACTAAAAATGTGAGATTTCAACAAATATAAGCCCAATGAGGGTTGAAATGATTTAACCTGTGAAATTTGTGTCAGTGTTGTCATTGATTATAAAAAAGAAAAAACAAACACACAAAAATCAAAACATTACAGCTTTGTTGAAGTTCTCTAGTTCTCTAGTTCTCTCTGGATGTCAAATAGTGTTAGAATATGGATGATGTCTGTGCTGTGTTCTCCAGTGCTGTGTTGTAGCGACTCAACCACAAGAGGGCAACTTTGGACCACACTGACGCTGGTCTTGGTCCACTTGGAGTGGCCACATCATCATAGACTGTTTCTGTCGCATTTGATTTTATAAGCATGGTGTAGGACAGTCACATCAGACTTTCTCATACTGTATTAAAAGATATGGGATCAAATGCACTGGTTACACCATTATATTGTGATGACAGATGAAACTGCTTTTGACACGATTCAAAGGAACTATATTTAGGATTTTGATTTTCAATTTCATAAACTTGACCTGTCTGAATCCCCAGATACAAGATAAACATATTCAAATAAAATACACCTTTTACTGATAAAAATTCTATTGCTGATTTATTTTAAATTTTGGACAAGATGTCTCAATTTATTTATTGTTAGACAATCAGAAAGCAGAATGAGCCTCACATGAGTTATTCATTTGGGTTGAAACCCAGTTTGTTTAAACCTAAACATGATCTGAATGGTCACTACCTAAACCCCAGCAACCACAGCTGATCATGAATCTGTGCTAGTACAGCCTCTGCAGCTCAGGGTGTGACTTTAGAGGTTTTGAGCTTTCACGTGAGACATGTTCTGTCCATATACTGACAATCAGAAAAGAACTTGTGTCCACTTTCTGCAGGTTTAGATAACAACACAAGTTCAGTTGTAAATGTAATTTACATTTAGGCTACATATAGTTCCATACCTTAAACACTGACAACTAATTTACTTTGCCATTTACTTAAGTAACAATTTGTTGGTTGTTGAAGGCATTTTTTACTCAAATAAGAAACATTCTTAGCAATGACAGCAAAGAGTAAGGTTTATATTATAGTCAATGTTAACTGTGACATTCAATCATAATAACATTGTTTATAGAAGAAAAACGACAAAACACCTTTTCATGAAAATTTGACATTTTAATGGAAACTAAAACTGTGAACACTGGAGGTTTTTCTTTTATTGAATCTATTACATTGTTTGGACTTGAGGGTTATTATTACCATGCTTTAGACAAATCAAAACCAGGACATTGTGACAATTCTGTTAAAATTGAAAACAAAATTTTAAATATCATAATCAAAACTTAACATAAATGTCAACTTGTAAGACATCTGAGAACCAAACACTACTTTATGCCTTTGTGCGGCAGGAGGACAGTCACTGAGATGAGAATGAAAAACAAAGATGCCGGTGCATCTCTTTAAAATGACTGTTAGTAGTGAAGTTGCCCTTGTCACTGTAAACTTTCTTAAATACTCAACTATTTAAAAAAATCTGCACAAGATGCCAGGGCCATATTTGTTTTTAAAGGAACAGCTTTATGATGCACAAACACCAAAGTCCAGCATTTTCCTATTAGTTGACTGTTAACGGTTGTTTTTAGCGGACATTCGGCTGCTGCAGTAGTGACATGTGCTCAGACAAAACTAAAATAAAACTTGTTTAAAGTCGATGTTCTGACCCAGGTTTTGTTTATGAGCAGAAATGTTTAGGTGTTCCTTTGGTGAAATACGATAATCTTCTTTTTTCAACAACAAGGCAGATAAATAAAAGAAACACAATGAATTTCAAATGTCCTTGACAACAGAAATGTGTTGTAGTGATTTCTCAGCTGGCAAAAAAGCTAATCGGTGAAGCAAAATAAGCCTATAAGATTCAAATAATTAAAATCATCAAAAACTCATCAAGTGTGACGTCTTCCTTTTAGTTTCATCCTACTTGTGCATCTATGGATAAATTAGGTTAAAACTCAAAATAAACATAGTATTATAAACACATGGTTAAATACTAATCTGTTAACTCTGTTCAGATGTATGATTTTATGTGCTACTTTAGACATATCAAATAGGACTTGCACAAAGTCCATCAGCACTGATTTTGGCTTTAGGTCAGACAATTCCCAATACAAGCAGTGAACATTTTAAAATCAACAAAAAAAGAAAAGAAAAAACTCTCAATGCTCTCAGGTTGTTTTTCACTTTTCAATTCAGGAGAGCAAACCAAAAGTTACTAAAAAAAAAACAAAACAAAAAAAAACAAACATTACAGAATGGCACGGATATACGCAGGAAGCAGATTTTTAAACAATCAAAATTGCTGTTAATTTATCATAACGTTTTCACACAGGCACCTGAACATGTAACAACAACAAAAGAGGGCGATGAGCTTAATTATACCAGAGACTTGCATATAAGAGGAAGAACTTGCTACGCGCCCGCTCAAACATCAAACTTGCGACCTCAGCCGTGTTGGAAATGGCACCTACAATTTCAGACCAAACTTCTTAATAAATGTTTTACAATCTGAGCAGCAGATGTTGTATTACTTTGGCCAAATACATGAGCCATTTCCAGCACAGGCTGCCCCAGCATCATGGAGGTGATTGCACATCCTGAAGAAAAGGTAAGGGAGGGGTAGGGACCACAAACTATTCAGTCTTATTCTGATGCACACGCCTACAAACTCAACACACATATTAAATCCCTCACCGATTCAAAACAACTTGCCTTTTTGGTTTGTAGGCTACAACACTTAACAGTTGTATCTTCATAAATGCATATTTCTGAACTTTTTAAGTGCTAATAAAGAGCAGTCTCCAGGTTGGGGAGTGTGGGCGATTCTCTGATTTCCCTTCCCAAGACTATCTCATTGTAAAAACATGTAAAAACAAAAGTATTCATTGTAAGACTACAGTAACATCACATAAGTCTGTTTCACCCTGTTATATAGCCTACAGATGCTTCCCTGCCCTGTCACAACATTGGCAGCACAAGATGGCATTTGCCCTTAATGGGTTTTAATGGTACGTCTTTGAGAATTATTAGCATTTGGAAAGCAGTGTACATAATACAGGGAAGAGATGCTAACCAATATCTGGCTATACTCTGGATCAGGATACAAATGAACAAAATACCATTGCTTTGTTGATAAACAAAGTCTGAACATTACAGTTTGACCAGAATTGTGTGGCTGCAAAATACAGCTGCACGGCTCAGAGTGAAACAAACTAAAGTCATAAAACAGCTCAAAGCATGTGCTTTCTAAACAGGGAAAATGACAGAAAATACTATTTAAATTATTTGGTGTCTTAAATAAAGCTCAAATGAGCAATTTCCAAATTGGGATTATCATCCATAGATGGGCCACTACACAAGAAAATATTCAACATAGTCATGGCTTATCAACACTACCTGAGTTACATAATAATTCTGTATTTTTTCTTCTCGGAAAAATAACAGCCCAAGCCATTCTTTCAAGGAGTATTGAATGAGTATAGAACTCCAGTAATTAAAAGATAAATGCAATTTGTTTACATAAAGTGCTATTAATCCTCACAAATCAAATCTGTTGTAGGAATTGAACTCAGATAATCCCTTTGTTACGGACATAAAGACCACCTTGGATTAGAGAATGAAAGCGAAAAAGCCACACAAAGCAGTCATTTTCAGATGATGCCTGTGAACAGAGTTTAGACCTGGAGGGGACACCAGCATCTCAGCTAAATTGTAAGTAGGGATCATGTCATGTACGCAGATTACAATGTTATTGCACACAGATTTGCAGATTTATAAAACGTTTTTAACAGTAGAAGATAAAACGGACCTCCACATACCAATACATTTTGTCAATACAAGTGGCTCGTCAGGGCTCTTCGATAGTATTGCAATATTTTTTGTTACTGCTATCTTAATGTGGTAATGAAGCCTGATTTATTTCCACAAGTACACATGCAACAACAAAAAGGACAGAAATCATAAAATCAAGTCCCAATCAGAGAAAATAAAACTAGCAAAAAGCCAATTTTTTTTTTTTTTTTTTTTTTTTACCACTGAAATAAAATTCAGAAATAAAAACCTGTGGTCATACTGTAGAAAAACAGTGCAGCAGACCAAACATGTCTCTTAAGTTAATTTGTTCTAAAACTTTTAGGTAAAAGTGAATTCAACAAACACTATAGTAAGAAGCATGAAATGTGTGAAAGCTTAAAAATCACAAGGATTGCTGTTAAAATATTGTTTTAAATTAAAGGGGAGGGCCATTGCTTTCCTTCCAGTCTTGCAGCTGTTTGTATACTGTCGGTGTACTGCAGTGCAGCACACATTTGTTAGAACAAAAGGATAGAAAAAAAAAAAACTTTATGTTTTCCCTCTAAATGTTTAAGACAAGGCTCTTCTTCCTGAAGGGTGTCTTACTCGTGAGCGCCCCCTGGGCTTACAGTTTGAAGAGGAAGATGATAATGCCACCACTTCAAGGCATTGTTTTCTAAAGTGTGTTCATGTTTTCAAGCTTGCACTCAGTCGTGCACATATGACGTCTAACATATCACATTGAACTCATAAGAACGCGCTGAGAAAGAATAGCTGAGGCATCCCATAATAATCACACTGACGACTGCTGTAGTTGAACAGGATAAAGGCTTGGGAGGCAGTCGAACATGATCCTAACAGAGCCACAAACAGCCCTCACAACCCAAAGCCGCACGTGTCCATTCATGGAGAGGCACCAGTCGACTCCTTTAGCACAGCCCTCCAAAAGGTTTGTGTCAAAGTCATTTCTTCACAAGTCTGTTGCTCCATTCTTGAGTCCAAAGGAAATCATTCATGCTAAACTATCAATAGTTTCACAGTTGTTACTTTAGTTATCCAACAGGCTTTCCAAAGATGTTGGACTGTAGATGGTCTTCCTCACTGGTCAGGTCCATCCCTGGACCCACTATAAACCACTACTCTTTTGGGATCTGAAAAACACGTTAACACATGTAGATGAGAGGAACACAAACACTTATGAATTAAAAACTGCACACTGTAACCTTCTTACCTTGTTTTTGCAAGTTTAAAATAATTTCCATCTCTGTTGAAAAAAAAACAATATATAATGTTAAATTGAGACATTTAGACATTTCTCTGTGCATGAAGCTTATTATCAGACACATCAATACACATATTATGATGTATGGTTGTATGCATATACCTTTAGTGTGATACATGACAGCAGCTTTTATGTCAAAGGAGCCCCAGCTACACCTCCTGCCATTGTCTTTAAAGTGAGCGGACTCTTTGACAGAGCCAAACAGCACAGTGGTCACAGGGCCCTGGGCACATTTAGCACCGGTATCTTTCCCCAGGCCCACAGCAAAGCAAGCAGCCTTGCCCTCCTCTTTTGTCTTGTCCTGACCACCCTGCTGGAGTTTGCCCTCTTTGTTAGAGACACAGACAGGAGAGGAAGAAGTACGAGTCCTTTTCTCAGAGTCCTGGGCCAACATGGCTGGATCAGAGAGCAAGGAGGTGTTCTCAAAGCAGGGCTGGCACTGGCTTTGAGCCGCAGACACAGAGGAGTCTTCCTCTGTAGGCACCTGTCCACTTCCTCCGTCTGGACCCAAATTGGGCTCATTGATAAAGGAGAGCCCCCACTGATTCTGGAAGATGTCTCCTAAGGCTTTCTGATTTGTCTGAGCAGCTGGCGGGTCAAGGTGGCGAGCACTAGGGAGCACAGGTTGCATATTTAAAGGGTAAATTAAAAGAGTACATTTTCTAATATCATATGTGTCTCCATCTATAGGACTACTTGTAGAGCTACAATTACTTTCCAGGGAAGATGCTACATTCTCGCCACCTGGGACAGATGGGGCTGGTGGAATACTATTAGCAGCAGGAGTAAAGAAGGTGCCCACAGAAGGACAACTATTCCCAGAAACAGGACCATTAGTAAAGCTAGCTGAGGTGATAGTTTTCATAGCAGACATGGGGACCTGGGACAGACGAACAGGAGGAGGAAGTCCCTCTCCTGCAGACTGAGCTACTTTGTTGAGGTTTTCTTTTACTTTACTTGCATAACTGATCTTAGGAACAATTTTAGCACTACTATTGTCCACAGGAAATACTGGAGGGGGCTTAAACAAAGTCCAAGAGTCCTCTTTTGAAGGGGAGGACAGTTTGGCTTTATGCCTTTCCTCAGTCTTTTTACTAAAGGTGCCAACTGATTTACTATCAACGTTTTTCCTCTGTGATTCTCCCACTAGAGCATCCGAGGAAACAGCCCTCCGAGTAGCAGCAGGAGCTTTGACCGTCTCCAGTCGAGAAGTGGCCAACTTCTCATTTGAGTCCAGACTGAAAGCCCCGGGCTCCTGCATGCTATTGGCTTGTTGCATGTCCTTTTCACGTGTCACATTGTCAGTGCTCTTGACATTGTTACATCTGGCCTTCCGCTTCTTGGGAGTTGTATATCCACCGTCAGAACTGCTGCCATCATTGTCCTTGCTAGAATACCCATTTGTAAGAATGCCACAATTTACAATGCCATTTTGAAGCAACACAGTGTCCTTTTTATCCACAGATTGGTCATCATGATGATTTAATTCCAAGGCCTTGTCATTTTTAAGGTCCATATTTCTCTTGTGATCCAAAGTTTTGCTGCTTGTTTTGGGGACAGTCATATACAGCCTCTGTGATGATTTCTGCTTAACAGTTACAGTACTTGCAAGTCTGCTACCATTTCCGTTGGTGGGATGTGACATGCCAACAATATCAGATGAGTTAAGATTCTTCTCCCTTTCCTCGTTGCTGTTTAATTTTGTATATCCTAAAAGACAAAAAGCATTTCAGTCAAAATTCACATTTCTTGAGAATCGCACAAAATTCTTTGTCTGATGTAAGAACTGTTTTGTTTTCAAAGCAAATCCTTGGTAAGAAATGTTAGAGCATACACTACATATACCATACACTAAACTGCCAATTTGTAGAATATCTAGTTAAAACCAAATCACTTGACTTAACAACAAATTGCATTAAGAGCTCTAACCCTGAACTGATCTTTTAGGCACTAAAAAGCTCTAGAATTTAATAGAAATAAATATGGGCTTGTTGTGGACCATAAATGGATGTATGCATAATGCATGCATAGCACACTCTGTCAACGTGGTACACTCCATATCAGCAGCACCCTAGGTCTGTGGTCAAAGCACATGTATACGTTGTTTACGCTTCAGGTTATAGATAAAGAATGACAAGTTCTGCAAATATAGAGGATCGTGGTTTCGGTAAAATCACTGTCAATCTGCTGCGTGGCTTGAAATGAACATGCAACAGGCCTGTCAAAGCTAGCTGTAGCCTGCGCTACTCTCAGCTCCGCTCTTATACGTTTGCTCACACAGGACAAATCCTGACACAACAATTCACCTCAACCTGAGTTTACATACGTGCAGGAAATAAACACATCAATGTTATTTTTGCACGATGCTGTCTTATAAACCTAACTAGCCTGGTTAGCATTAGCGTTGAGTGATGTTGTAACATGGCCGACAGGAAACGGGAGGCAGCTCAGAACATTCCAGTGGAGCCGGCTCGTTCTCGTGAACACAGGCATACCCAAATGAATCAGACTGAATCAGAGCCATTCTACAAGGCCTGTCCTCACGCAATGATGTGCAGCTCCATCCAGGCACACTTGAGAATTAAAAACGGTATACTTGGGTACATTTCCCTTACATTTACTGCTGAAAATGGGTGGCGAAACCGGCGCACACAAGGTCAATCCCCGATATGTCAAAGCACTACCAACAACTACTGTCACGCAATGTCAGCTAGCTAGCCCACCGTCTCGTCCAATCTTGTTTGACAGTCCTCGGTCTTAACTTATGGATGGATATACCGCTCATGTGCAGCTAAAATAGGAGGGTAAATGTAGTTTATAGCTTGCCTGGAATCATGCTTGAATCTATGCTAGTTAGCAACAGCTACTAAGCTCATTGACATTAGCTGAGTAAGGCTAGCTCGCGTTAGCTAACTTCTACGGTTGGCCCAACCTGTTTTCTTCGTGTGCGTTTCCTGATGCTGGCGCTGGATGTGGCTCTGATCATGTTTTAAACCAGCTGTGTGTTGAATTGACTGTCTGTCCACGCCGTGTTGGGGATATAGTTTGTCTTGTGCCCGATCTCTGGGCTGTTCCTCCATTGAAGTGTAGAGTGTCGGACTTGATCAGCCAAAGTGTGCTAGCTCCCTGGTAAGTACAGCACAGTCCAATCACAACCAGTGCAAAACGGAAGCTATTTGAAGCCACTGTAAACGTCAGCACTCAATGGCTAAAAATGGCACTATTTTGGGTGGTCATTGCTTCTGAATTCACGTGCTCTATTTTTACATCGCGGGACGCAGAGGAATCTGCATTTATTGTAGTTAGTGCTATCTTTTGCACTGTCATTAAATGACAGGATGGTATAATATAAATCTTTGAAGGGTGGGCAACACTGGGGTGGGGTTCCCTAATCATATGACCGGAGGCTCTGCCACGTCTCCAGGCTGTGTGGACAGGCTTTGGTTAAGACAGGCATACTTTCCCCGCTCCTAAAATGGAAAGTCAACATTCTCAGAGAACTTGTCCAAAGGATATACTGCACTCACCTGTCAACAAATATATAAAGATGCACTCACTATTTACTGTCATCTAATGTTTGTGCGTTTTTGTGTAATAATTCAATAATTAAAAAGAAAATAAACTAGACCTGCACCCATTGTATTTGTCATTTCATAATGAGCTATAGATACGGAACTTACTGATTGTTTCATTAACCAACATCTTAGTGAAGCATAAACCTAATAACCCTTAGACGCTGAATGTATTTGTTATGATTAAATATTGGATTCCTGCATAGTTCTTCAATGTCATTTAGAACTTTAAAGGAAATCCATGCATGAATAAACTCCACTTTTTCCCTTACCCCCAGACCAGATACTGTGCCTTTCAGAAGGCTTGCAGCTCCCTCTTGTGGTGCCTGACGGGAGGCATATTGATACAGTTAAAACATTTAATTGAACCATTTACAGTCTATGATTTCATTTTCATATCGCCTATGTTCATGCTATAGACCTAGCAAAGATAACGAATTCGGTAAGCAGAATCAGTTCAACAACTCTTTTATAGATGGGCTTTGTCAAGCAGCAGTGGATAATTTGTAAAAGATAAATCTTTACATGCAATCTATTGCAAAGAATATGACTATTTGATCTTAGCATCTGTGAAATACATTACAATAAAAAACAGGACTATTTATATTTCAAGTTATTGATAATAACCACAACAAAACCCCACACGAGTCACCAAGTAACGTTAGCCATACTGTAGCCTTTTGCTTTGAAGATTGAAAACACTTGAAAATATCAGCACCACCATACATTAACAGTGATCCGTCCATGGGATATGTTGATATGCATATTAAAATCTCTATAAATAGCCTCAGCCTTTTAGTTTATCAAGCTGACTGAGAAAAACTGACATAATGTATAAAGGTTCCGTGCTTTCAGAAAGTGCATTTCCTGGAAAGTATTAAAAATTAAAATAAAGCAATGGACTTCTTCATGTCTTGTAATTCCCTTGGCGCTGGACGTGTAGTCACCATGTACAGATTGTACACAGCATGGTACCCACAGAGTCTGAATCAAGTAAATCTTTTATTACAGAACAGGAGGTACTCATTGTCTTCAAGTGTCACAAAAGGTTTTGAATGTCTTCATGCCGTAAGACTTTGTAGGTCAGCCAGTAAAGAACATTAAACATTAGAAAGCTCATAGGAAAAAGTGCTCGCGAGATGGTATCAATCCTTTTAGCCCGCTCCACAAAGCGTCTGCGAATGTCATAGAAACCTAATCCAGGAGGTAAATCGGCAAAGACAGGTGTTGCATCCATTTCAGCTGGACCTGCCGACAGTGCAAATCTGTAGCTTTGGTAGAGTAAGCCTTGCTGTGCTAGTTCCTCTTCCTAAATCAAATAAAATATAATCAGTCTAAGTTTTTATTTTCTCTAACTTTGTATGGAGTGATTAGTGTGACCTAGTGACCTCACAGTATAACGTACCCGTGCACAGGCGCTGCACTGCTGAGAAGGGTTTCCATGGGGAGTATTGTTGCCTGACAGGTTGTTTCCTTTTGCCTTACTGTCACTTCCCTGCAAGAGATAAAAGAACCATCAACAAAGTTAGCATATTACAATGCACAGAACAAATGGAATATAACAGACACACAAATCATTATTAATATGAAGAAAACAAAAAGTAAATGGATTCTGCATACAATTTTGACTTATGTTATAAATATTAAAACTGTGTGCAAAAAGCCTCAAGACAGAAAACTCATCCAAGTGATGAACAAGGTGGTACTTGAATTAATTACAGGTCATTTCAGCGCATGCTTGTCAGCTGTACACAACATGGAGCAGAGATGGGGCAGCTTAGGCAGGGCTGGGTGCAGGGAACAGCCGATGACAGCTGCCCCAGGGGCAGAGTGGGTGGGTCGCACTCACAGATCTCTGCCGCTGCTGCTCCTTCTGCTTCTTCCTCAGTCTGAAGAACTCCTTGTGTTGCCGCGAAACAAAGTTAACAGCAGCATATTCCAGCAGTGCAGCGAACACAAATAGTAGACATACTGCCATCCAGATGTCTATGGCTTTCACATAAGACACCTAAGAGACAATGTGAGACACTATTATAAACGGCATTAACAGATTTGACCTATGGCTAAAAAAACAAAAACAAAAACCTAAATAAAATCTAATTATTTATATAGCTAAGTTCCAAGTGAGTGAGATGGACATCTTCTTGTGCAAAATGTAGACAAAAAGGTGAGTAACCTTTGGCAGTGACGCTCTGGAGCCCGAACTCTGGGTGGTCATAGTGAGGACCGTGGTGATGCCCAGTCCGACTCGGGCCGGGGCTGCGTCCATGTTGATCCAGAAAGAGACCCAGGACAGGATCACTGTTAGTAGGCTCGGGATGTACATCTGGATCAAGTAGTAGCCCATCTGCCGCTCCAGGTGAAACTTCACCTCTATGCAGGTAAACTTACCTAGACGCAATAGCAGTGTTTTAATACATTGTACAAAGCAATTCTAACCTTATGTTTAGTACCTGTATTATAGTGCTTGGTGCAGTAACCTAGGCCCTTTTCCTCCTTTAGCACAAATTGTGGCAACTGCAGATCATCAGCGACCTGCACGGCCCCAACATCCAGCCATTCAAAGATTAAGTCATTCATTGTGTAGCCAACTGGAAAAAGAATGCAATTCAGTAGGATTAGTCACACAGCAACATTGTACAGGTTTTAATATTATCTAGCAAAACTAATTAATCTATATTATTATACACTTGTACAACAATCATAATCAATGTATTTGTTCTATCACATTAAGTAATGTAGTAGGAGTAATAGTAATTGTCATAGCTGCTTCATGAAAGTTAAATTTAATCATAGACTTGCTGATTAGTGGCTCTATCTAGCAATGCTGTAGAAACCCAAGTTAATATGAAAAGAGAGAGGACTCAATAATTCACCAGCTATTTGTTTATTAATTTACCAGCTAGTGTTCATTAGTAAAGAACATTCAAATATGTCAATAAAGGTTTTGACCACTACAAGCTAATCACAGTATTTACAGTCCCTGAAGCTACTTTTCATTTGCTTTTTGTAGTCAGTTTGTTAGTTAGTTACAGTGACCTTAATATTTTTGTATGCTTACAGCTTTCCAGTTGCATTGTGCAGGTCTGGCTGTCCATGGGGAAGTTTTTGAGATCCATGGGACAGGAGAGGATAAGAGTTAATCTAGAAACACAAACACACAAAAACAAACAGGTGATTGTCTGGTGGCAGATGGCTGGGGAGAAGCTGCTGCAGTCAAGTGTAAAATGGAAGCTGACATTTCTCATGCTTTCTCCTCCCAGTGTTGAATGTCCAGGTAGAGTACCCGGACCTCTAAAGCATAATGTCACTCAAATCTTTTAGCACTCTGGGCCAACGTTTAAGGTCATGTCAAATAGATACAACCTTTGTTGCACCTGTCCTACCTTTTTTCTGTAATACTTCAGAACAGCCACACAAAGAAAACAAGTGATGACAGACAATATGTCACCTGTCAAGGAGAAACAGACTGGGAACATTGTCTATAAAAGTCCTTTCATCTTCCAAAGAAAAACAAGACATTTAGTTTCACAGCTGACACACTTTCTGCGCTGAGTCATAAGAAGTATCACTGATTATGCTACATTTGACTTTATTCTGGTGTGGACATTGAAGCATCATGGTTGAGTAGTGACTTTTCCGCATCTATATGACCTTGTTCTAGTGGCCGCATAGTCATGCTGTGGATTATGCCCTGAGGTTAGAGGTCACTGCGTTCATTGAGCATCAGAATCACAGTCTATTGGTTAAACTGAAAGGGAAATATTGCTTTAAAACAATTCTAATTATAACTCCTCCACTTCACGCTACAGTAATTTCTTGCCTTGGCACCACACTACTGACCTGATTTTGCTTTACCCTACAGATATTGCTCAACTTTTTCTTATTAGAAACACCGGACAATTGAACCTATTTAAAAGAAACAACGATAAGGTCATGGCATGTAAACTTTGGTTGTCAAAAACAGTTCCTGTACGTCAAACTACAATGTGATGTGTGTGATCTGATTTCTGATTTGAAATAAACAAAGAATTACATTACAACAAACATTTGATTATGGACCCAACATGGGCTATTTTTGGCTATATTTGGTTGGCAGAGTATTCCTACATGTTACTGAACATACATGACACACATGCACATAAACATGTTAGATTGTAGCCATGGGATAATTTCCATCTAATGTCCCACTTTTGCTCACACAATTTCATTCATAGACCAGTGAACACAGACACTGGAGGCAAGGCAGGTGAAATGCCTTGCCCAAGGACACAAGGACACAATGACAGCCCCTGTCTGAGTGTATGAATAATGTACCTTCAGAGTGGTGGACATCCACTGAGCCAATACTAACTAATATTTAAAGATAAATTATTATATTACTACATTTGGTCTTTCATTTACACCATATATTGTACATGTGTCATGAAGAATGGGTTAGAAGTTTCTACTCCACTGAACACACCCTGTTTGTACAGTTTTATGTTGCTGTTGTGTTTAACTGGGTCAGGATCTGGTGACTATGAAGGTCAGGGTGTATGATTCAGATTCTTGTCTAACTCATGTGAGTCCTCAATGAGCTCTGGTGCCCTGTGGTTAAGGCCATTGTCGTATCAGATAAGCCTACATCCATCAGGTCCCTCTCTAAATACCTGCCTATGCACCTTTACTTTCAACTTTTTCAATACCTGATGCTGTAGAGGACATTCCCAT